CATATTTATTTTTCTTATTTCACTTATATATTTTTATCTTATCTCATATTTCTTCATTCTTTTAATTATTAAATATTTAAAAATATTTTAAAAATTATTAAATATTATCTAATATTAATTTTTAAAATTATTAAATATTTTAAAATTGATTAATATTTATTTTTATCAAATTTAATTTAAAAATCTCAAATGAATATATTTTTAAAATAAATTTTATCATGACGGAATCAAATTATCATATCTAAACTAAAAATTTACAATTTTAAGGATTTGAAATTAACTTATCCAAACAAAATATTTTTAAAATGATAGAAATTGAAATCAAAGTAATTCAAATATAAAAAAAAATTTAAATTCTGTAAATTAATAAAATCTGTCGTCCAATTACATCATAAATTATACTCTCTTTTGAAATCAGGACAAGTAAGAAATGTGCAGTATCACCGAACAAGGGTCTGATAAGCACTTACAGAAGTTAAAAATATGAAGGAGAAAATGAAATAAACTTTTCAAGTTAAAATTAGTTTATATATAAGTTAATTTATAAAAACTCTCATATTAATTTTTTCAAAATCTTATTTTTAATTCATATATGAGTTAATTTTAATTTATGAAAAAAATTATTTTAATTTTCTTCCTATTTTTATTTTCTAGAATTGTTTCTAAAAAAGTTTATTTAAACAAGACATTCTTGGGTTTAAAAGAAACTTGTGAAAACATGTTGGGTTCAGCTTTCTGCTAAATTAATCATCCTACATAATATTTGCTTTAAGCTTAAAAAATACTTGTCTTCTGTATTGGGTCCTATTTCATCAAAGTGTGATTACAACAGGTGTAAAATACTAAAGCTGATCTGTGGTAAAAAATGGAAAACACAAGTTATTATTACCAGCACTTGACTTTTTCCTTTTTTGAAGAAAGCTGCTATTAAAAAGATGGATATGCAAGCATCAAATGAATTCCTTGCTGAACTAAAGGTTCTTACACACGTCCATCACTTGAACTTGGTATGACATTTTCCCTACGCTACTGATATTCAAATTTTGAAGCTTACAAATTGTACAGTTATAACCCCTCCCCCCAAAGATAAAACCTCAAGAAAGAACTATGCAAAAACATACGGTAGGAAATTTGCTTAAATATAAAGGGTGGTCTAGATTTCATTATATTTCTTCCCCCCTTTGGTAAACTTCAAACTATTCAATGTGGTGGATTCCATTGAACTTTGTTAATAGCCAGTAAAACTATCATAGAAAAAAAAGAAGAAAAAAAAAGAATCTTTTTTTATATTCGGTCCTGCTACTATCTGTTTATGAAACCATTGTTAAGGATTCTCAACTAATCATCCCGTGCCTAGATCCTGTGCTAGTTATGTAACAACTAATAAGTTACCTACTCAGTCCTTATATCTAAATGTATTTGATTACTTATTTCCCCAATTCATGATTCCTTGCAGGTGCGGCTAATAGGATATTGTGTTGAGGGCTCCTTATTTTTGGTTTATGAGTATATTGAGAACGGCAATTTAAGTCAACATTTGCGAGGCTCAGGTGTTTTTTTTCTTACCTTATTTGTTAATGCTTGATCTTAGAATGATGGCATCATTTTAATTTCAAGGCTCTGAATATAGTAGCTTTGTAGGGAGGGATCCGTTAACATGGGCAGCTAGAGTTCAAATTGCCCTTGATGCAGCAAGAGGACTGGAATACATCCATGAGCATACAGTTCCTGTCTACATCCACAGAGATATTAAATCAGCAAACATTTTGATAGACAAAAACTTTCGTGCAAAGGTTTGCAAATGTATTTCCACGTTTTTCATCCATAAAAGCTGAATGCTGAGTCCAACCTTTTTCTCACAGGTTGCAGATTTTGGTCTCGCAAAGTTGACTGAGTACGGTAGTTCTTCATTGCAAACGCGTCTTGTGGGTACATTTGGTTATATGCCTCCGGAGTAAGAAACTATATATCCTTTCCTTTTCTACTAAGTTTCAACCTATGTTTGTATCAGTATTCAGTAGCACCTATGATTATTTTCTGGTTCTGTCATTTCTCATATTTCATGATATCTGAATTTGAAAATATACCAGGGGAACTTCAGTTTTGTAGGGCATATTAACTTCACTAACTCTACATGCTATTATTATTACTTATTTTCTTAGTTGATGTACATATTTTAAAGCACAAAATTTTTACTTAACTTCTCTGTATTACTTTGATCTCCAATTTTTGGACTGATTTCTAACATATTATGCATACACTAGATGTATGCTTGAGGTATCCTTTACTAGTACTAGTAAGTGCTTATAGTTTTATTTACTTGATGTCGAAGAACAGCGTGACCATTTTGACCGAGTGTAGCATTTTTGTTTAGATATGCACAATATGGTGAAGTTTCCCCCAAAATAGATGTATATGCTTTCGGAGTTGTTCTCTATGAACTCATATCAGGCAAGGAAGCTATCGTCAAGACAAACGAATCTGAGAATGACTCAAAAGGATTAGTTGCCTTGGTTGTTTTTCCTTGCCCCTCTTACCTCAACAATAGTGTTCATCACCTATAGTTCTTTACTCAATTTTAACTTGCCTTATGAAATGCAGTTTGAAGAAGTTCCTGGCCTGCCAGACTCAAAAGAAGATCTTCGTCAACTTGTTGACCCTAGACTTGGTGACAACTACCCTCTTGACTCAGTACTTAAGGTAATGAATTTAATTAGAACACATTCACGGTCTAATTTTTTTTACACTTCCATCCAATTATGAATTATTATGTATGATAAGCTAGTCAAATTTTATAATAATTATTTTAAAAATTGGTTAAAAATTTTAACTATGATAATGTAAGCTAAGGTTATGTTTTGTTATACCTTTGCACCTTGAAATCTAAGTTAATTAGTTGATCTCGAACACAGTACTTACTTGAATGGGATTTTTTTTTCTTTCTATTTTGTTGAATTTGAATTGTAAGAAAACTTCACTTGAATAAAAAAAACAAAATGCTTTTCCTTTGACATTGTTTTAAAAAGTTAAATTCACTGTAATGAACCTTTTAACTATAATCCAAAAGCACACAAATTCCTGATTTTAAAAAACTTGGTTTGTTGTACAATTTTTCTTTTTCTTCACTTGCAGGTGTCTCAGCTTGCTAAAGCATGTACACATGAAAACCCTCAACTTAGGCCAAGCATGAGATCAATTGTAGTTGCCTTAATGACACTTTCATCTTCAACTGAGGATTGGGATGTTGGCTCCTTTTATGAAAACCAAGCTCTAGTGCACCTAATGTCTGGAAGGTAGCAAGTTCCTTTGGAAGGATTGAATCCCGATTTCTGAACACCACAATGCATGCTTGGATATTAATTTCAATTGTGAATTTGTAAATAAAAGGTATATATGATAATTATCTACTAATTTATTTTTTTAAAATAAACACTTTTTGTCACAGTGATGCATTGAAATGAGGATCCAACGTTGTCAGATAAAGTAACTACTGCTGTCTGATATGTTTGATATAAACAGAGGATAAGTTAAATCAGAACTGACTTTTTAATGAAAATTGTTTACGTATATTATTAAATATAACGAATCATTAATTTGTTTATTAAAGTATTACTATTTCTCTTAAATAGTTCTTAAACTAATAAAATTATATAAGGAATTTTCACAATATGGAATATCAATCAATTTAGTTTTTAAGTTGATATATTTTACAAGAATTAAAGGACTAATTTAAAGAATTTTTTTATTAAAAAGTGTAACAACACATTACTTATTGATTTCTTATATAACTTCCTAATTTTTTTTTTTCTTTTGATTCCTTAGAGTATAGGTTTGAAATTTGAAATACCTTATGTAAAAAAAAATATTTTGGGATATAAGGATTAACATGATAATTTCTAGTTTGATTTCTGTTTTAAAATAATGTTTGATTAATAAAAATTATGTTTCACAAGTATAATTAGTCATTAATTGTTATTTTTAAAACATTGTGTGAATCAAGTCTATGAATAAAAAAAAAAATTAGAAGTGCTCAAAATAGTAATTGAGAAAATAGTTGGTAATTGTATTTTTTTTATAAGAAGAAATGCAGAAAAATATTTTTATAGAATTTTTATATAAAACATTTTTAGAGTTAAAATGTATTTTAGGCAATTATAAATTTATTTAAAATAAATATTGTTGCATTAAAAAATAATTTAAAAGGGTAAAAAAGAGTATAATAATTAAGAGAGATAGAGGAAATTTTATTAATATATTGAGGATATAAAAAGAAGAAAAAAATATATAAGTGTAAATTGTTAAAAAATGTGTGTATATAGGAGACATATTAAATGCAAATTCTTCTTATCGTGCAAAATAAGAAGTATAAATTTTGGTCACAAAACAAGTTGAACTTGTCATATCATCCGCTTAACCCACAAAAAAAAAATGGCAGGATAATTAAGTTGCTCAACGTGTTAACCCGCTTAATTACCTACCTAACTTATGTTGCCCAAGTCCCTACATGTGTATTTAAGGCATGTTTAATAAGCTTTTTATTTATTTATTTTATATATGATTAAGGAAAAAAAATATGTTTATCCTTTTAGTTTTATATATAAACCGGTTGAATGGAGACACTTCTTTCTTTTATGAATTTTGTTTAAAAATAATAGAAGATGATATAACATCATTATTAGAAAAGTGTCATTTTTTTGCGAATTTTCTTGAAAAAAATATTCGCATAAATTTTTTGTGAATTTTCCTGAAAAAAATATTTGTAGAAATTTTTTGTGAATTTTCCTACAAAAAAATATTTGCATAAATTTTTTGCGAATTTATTTGCGAAAAATTATTTACAAATATTTCTTATAAATTTTGCTACAATTTTAACAATCATAAAAAAAAATTTCCATGAGAAAAATTTGCAGAAAATATTGTAAGAATTTTATTTTATTTCTTGCAAAAATAAACTTGCAAGTAATGTTTACTAAATGGTAGAAAAAATTTGCAGGTAACTTTTCTTGCGAATTTTCCTGCAAATTTTAATCCGCAGGAAAAATAAAAAAATATTTAAATTTATAAGTTTAATATTTAAAAAAAAAAACTTCAAGTCTCACATCGATTGAAAATAAAACAATTAAAGAGTATATAAGTTGGGGCAACACTTACCTTACAAGTTGATTTGTATGGTTGAGTGTTAGGCTTAGAGGCATGGAAACAAATGTTATGGATGAATTCATTGTGAGCATTTTAAAGTTGAAGAATTATTGATATAATTTATAGTAATTTCTTTAACTTTTTTCATAAAAAATATTCCTTCAGAATTTCTTGCGAAAAAATTCGCAAGAAACTTTCCTGCGAATTTTTTTTGTAAAAAATTTCGCAGGAAAATTTCCTACGAATTTTCAAATTTGTAAAAATATATCATCCACGAAGGTATTATCTATAGATAAAATTTCGCAGAAAAATTTGTAGAAACAACGTTTCTTGCGAATTTTTCATTGTAGGAACAACGTTTCCTATGAATTTTTATGAAAAATTTGCAAGAAAAGTCGCATGTAATAAGAAAAATTCTAGTAGTACATATAAATTAAGCGAGATCATATAAAATTAAAAAAAAGTAAAATAATCTTATAAAATAATAGGACGGTTATTTATATTATATATAAAAAGAATATTTCTCCTCGATTTTGGTTTCTAATTTTTATTAGACTATTATTGTTAAGCAAAAAAAATTTAAAAATCAAGACTTTTTAATTCTTCACTATCTCTAAAACAATTATCTCAATTTTGTTTATTTTTATTTTTAAAAAATAGACATACAAAATATCTCTTTTCTATTTATCTAAAATCTAAATATATTATCTAAAATAAGATAAAAAAATATATCATATTTTAGTTTTTACTTATTTAAGGACATATTTAATAAATGTAACTTTTTTTAATTATTTAATATCTTTATTTGTCATTCCTATCTCTCTCCTTTAATAATCATAACTTTCTTTTAAATAAAATCACTATTAATGTGAAAACACAATTTAAATAGAATAAACTCTTTTGGATTGTAAATAATATAATACTAATATTAAATTAGCTTCATTTTTTTTATTTATATTTTAATTTTTTTTATACATTTAATATTTTTTTTCGTTTCCATTTTATCATTAAGAGATATAATGGTAAAAAAATGATTAATAGATAATAAATTGGGGATCCTATTCATCAACAATCTCACATCCTCCATCTAGCTAGGTATTTTAAACTAAATTGTGATGTTGCAGTAAATTTGACTGACTGCAAAGCTATAGTGGGTGGAGTTTTTCGTGATCAGTGAGGTGCACTTCACTTTTCGTTTGCGATCAATATTGGAATTTATTTATTTTTTTTCTGTCTTACATTCACAGTTATTATGGATTATCTTTATAGGAGTTGGTCTTGCTTAGTGTAAAGGGTTTAGAAAATTTGTTGTGGAGTCTGATTCCTTGAATCCTTGTTCAATTCTACCTTATTCAGACCATAATTTCATTCCAAGTGGCTGCTGGGCCAATTTAATTTGGTCTCATACATATCAAGTGGCAGTTAAATTAGCTAATTATAATTTATCTATTAATGTTAATTTGAGAATTTTTTATATTGTTTTACCATTTTTTGCCTTTCTTGTTAAGGCAGATGTTACTTATATTGTTTATTCCTAGTAATTTTTAATTGATTCTTGATTGAGGTTTTTTTTCTGTCAATTCACCAAAAGAAAATTATAAATATAATTTATTATAAATTTTAATTATATATATATATATATAATAATAATACATGTATATTAGACATGCTAAAATACTATTGATTAATTAAATTCAACGAAATATTTTTACCACACATAATAATTTTACTTGATTTGAACATTTTTACTTGATTTGAACATAATTACATTTGGTAAAAAATATATATAGTCTATATCAATTTTTCTAACCACCAGATTCAATCTAATGGTGTAGGTTAAGTAGTATACACAATATTTTAAGTTTAAAATATGTTGTCGTACGTTATTATTATTATTATTATTATTATTATTATTATTATTATTATTATTATTATTATTATTATTATTATTATTATTATTAATTAAAAATATAATTTTTTTATTAAATATGCATATTTGTTTAAAATTTTAATTTTGACATACTTTTGACAAAAATATTTCTATAATTTTAACTAATTGATTAAAAATCACTTTAACTATATATTTAAAATAATTATTACAATTTTTTGTAGTCCTTATAAAAATAAAGTGGTACTTTCAATCATGACTCTTTGTCTAAGTCATGATCTAACCTTAATTTTTATTAAGGAACACATGTGTCAAATAACTTATATGTGTACAAAAATTATTAATCTTTCATACATAATATTTATAATTAAATAATAACATAATTAATGCATTTTAATTAAATTGATTGGTTTAAATAAATTTAGGATAGGTCCAACTGGAGTTTCTTATAAGGTCCATTGCTTAAGAATAAGCAACACGTTAAGCACCCTCCGCCGGAGGTGTTCTTAGTAAGTTGAAAGATATATGGGAAAACAATTACATGACGATGTAAATAAGAGGTTATATCATATATTCAAGGAAGGGCAACACAGTAGCTAGGATTAGACATGCATTTTAATGTGCTTCCTCATCTTCTCCATTTGTTTCGATTTCAATTTCTGGTTGATTTTAAAAAATATTTATTCAAATAATTTGTTTTTGTTATTTTTTATTTAATTTTAAAAATATTTATTTGATTTTATTATCTTAAAAATATTTTTTCATATTTAACAAAACAATATCTTTCATATAATTATTTTATTTGAAATCTTGCAGTACACGAAACGAAAGGGTGGTTAATTAGTTAAATAAAAAATTCTTAATCTTTGTTTGTTAAAAGTGAACAAGAAAATTTATATTAAATGTTATAAATACTTGATCATAGTAATTAATTATAGTATATATATAATTATATATGAGGGTTATAATAACATCGTTATAATTTTATTAAGTATTACACCGCTTAATAACTTTATATTAAATATGAATTTTGTAAAATCAATCATTAGATTGAAAGTTCTTTACTATTAGATCATATATATACAAAATTTTATATTAATTCAAGATGAGATACTTCATTCTTATAAAACAAAATTAACGTAATATATACATTTCAAAATATAAACACTTTGATTACCTTTAAGTTGTTGTTCAATTTTTACAAAATTTAATATAAATATATAAAGTGATATGAACTTTCGATCTAATAGTTGAATTTATAAAAATCAAATTTAATATAAAGTTATTGAACATTATAATATTTAGTAAAAATTACACCGATATTATTATAACTTCCTCGTATATATATTTATGTATATTTATATCTCTTATATTGCACAAATGTTAATATCATGATAAATAAATTATACAAGGCGTGTAAAAAGTGTTAATTACTTTGAGTACTACCTCTTAAGATTAATTTGATTGTTAGGGGAATTCAACTTGAAGAAGAAGAAGAAATGTACTCATTCAATCAAAAAGATAGAATTAAGTTCTCATTTCTTCTAGTGGTAGTTGACAGTTGAAAATATGTGTTACAGTTGGATAACATTGTTTTATTAGGATAACACTACATCATTTTTAACAAAACGAAATTACATGAGAATCAATATATAATAATAAAGTATGGAAATTTGTGATTAGTTATTGTGTGGTGCATTTGGAATACAAGAAACTATTATGTTGAGAGGTGAAGATTTTTTATAATGAATTTTAATTTTCTTTTTGCTATGTGATGTCTTAGGAGTAGGGATTTGATATAAATTTATAATGAATTTTATACAAAGTAGAATGCTCAAGAAATTTTTTTTGTATGTTCAATTATAAAATATATGTTAAAATTCTATTTTATAGGATTTCTTGCTGTTACATTTAGGAGGATAGGAGAGAATAAAAAAAATTATCAACTTTTTCATATATATATATGACACGATTTATACTTTGTATGTATTAATACAATAATTTACTTATTTAAAAAAATCTTACATCTCTAAAGAATTTATATTTTTCCTTCACGCGCATATATAAATGTATTGAATACTTTTTTTCATTTAATATCTTATTATGAGAGAGATGAATATAAAATCTAGAACAAATTTTTATTATATTGTGATTATAGGAGAGATCTCACATCCATTAAAAAAAAATTATGATCCATAATTATGCAGAAAATTTCAAGTGAGAAAATATAAAATATCAAATAATACTGTATTAGAATCTTTTAAGATTTTAAAATTGCGATTATGTAATAATTTGGAAATTGAATTTGATCAGATAAGATTATACGTTTCAAAGAAAAGGTAAGCTTGGAGTCAAACCTACTTACTTGCACAGCAAGTAACAACTGAAAGTAAAATATATGTAGTTTCGTACAAATGACATGTTTAGTACGAATTTCAAGGATGATTTGAGGGGGAAAAAACGAAACAATATAACAAATCATATTTGAATTACTAAAATTTTAAAAAAAAAATAATAAATAAAATAAACGTGATTTTTTAAATAGTTATTTTAATCGATTATGATCGAATTACCAGTAACTAACTAGTTTTTAGTTAAGATCGGGTTCTCTCAATATATTTTGTAAAGTTAAAATAGATTTTGTTTAAAAGTTGTGTTTGTATGAATTATCTGCTTTCCTTATATACTTTTGTTATCTACCATCAAATCTCTCTCGTTCTTTATGCCATATATCTCTATATATGTACTTGGGTTACAAACAAATTCACATGTTTCTATATTCTTCATTCCTGTTTGCTGCCACAGTTACACTCTCATTCTTCATTCTGAATTTCTTATCATCCAATCCTTGACACCAACGGGGATAAACCGATTATTGAAACATTCTCTTGTGTTTCGTTCATAATAATCAGGTTGGCTCTCTTTTCGTTTCTTGGTTTCTATGAGTGATTCTAATATCCTGGTTTTGGTCATTAATGCGTTTTATTCGTCCTGTGCAATTCATGAGTCATGATACGTGAAGCAGTATGAATCGCTCGGAACCTTGTTGATCTGCTTTTCTTTCTGCTATCTTTTCGTGAATGCAGTTGAAATCCCCGTTTGTTTGGTTGTTGTTTTTTTACCTTTTTTGTTTTTATTTTAGGCCTTGGATGTAAAACGGATTTCACGTTGCTGAGTTGACTCTAGTCAACTCATCTTAACTGCTTTGTTTTGGCTTCATTTGAAGAATTGTAAATAATTGGATATACCCACTTAGTGCATTATAGTTGATAAATAATAATGTTTCTTAAATATGTGAATAAAAGTTTGATCATCAAATTCGTATTTATGAAAAAATATATGTTGAGAGAGTACAATTAGTTTGAAAGATTAGTCTTTAACTCTCCATTAGAATATATTTAGGTTAAGAAAATAGTGAGTTTTATCATCAAATGGGATTAATAGGATTAGTCCGAATTATATTTTGGTTTTTTCAAAATTGGTTTATATTAAGGCAAGTAGGTTACATTGATGCTCAGTTTCCTATGTCATGCTTATGAATGTGATAGTGATGAACTTATGATGGTAGTATCGTGTGTGCAGGTATTTTAATTGATATTTTATCCTGACAGAATATGTTAACCGGACTCTAGATACTATAGAAAGATTGACGTGTTGATGGTTGAATGAGTGATAAATTGATGACCTATGTTTCATTTTTCAATAATGGGGTGTTTGACTGTTTGCAATTATTTGAGCTTATTTACTGTTCTTTATGCAGTAAGAATGAAAATTTCTTTTCAAAGACGAGAAAAATCAAACCAACAGACTGAAGATAAGTTAGAGTTCCTAAGGTTCTCAAGATCCGTTGGAATTCGAAAGAGACAAAATGGCGAATGTGGTTTTAAAAATCCAAACTCAGGAGAAAAAACCACACTGTCCTATGTAAAGAACAGTACTGCCCTAGGAGAAAGGTCAAACCAATATGTTGACTATACAGGCAACATCCCAAGATCCTTAAGAGATTCCGGAATTTCAAAGAAGAGAAAGGTTCAGGATATTCATAAACAAGATATTATAAAATCAAAGTCAAAAAAGGACGAAGGCTTTATGGTTTGTTGTTCAAAGAGGACTTGTAAAGGACGAGAGCCAAAGAAGTGTCTTTCTTCATTGAAGAAAAGAAAATTTGAAGACGATATCTCGATTAACAGTTTGGAAGATGAAACAGATTTTGTTCCTTCAGAGACAAATTCCAAAAGCAAAGCTAGAAAATTGGATAATGTGAAGGTGATTGTCTTTCTCAATGCTTGCTCCTTACACCGAAAAGTCTTACTTTACGATAATGTTTTTTGGTAGGTTGAGACTTGTATTGATATTTTGTGTTAACAGAATGCCGGGCACACTTCCAAAATATGTCATCAATGCAGGAAGAAGGAAAGGACAGCATACGTACCTTGTACTAAATGTCAGAAAATGTACTGTGTGTGGTGCATCCGGAAATGGTATAGTAGTTTATATATAAATAATCATTGGAAGGGTGTGCATTTGTTCATTTAGTTTATGAGATACCCTTGCAAAATGTAACTATTTCTCATTTTGCACATAGGTATCCCAATATGTCAGCAGAAGATATTGCAGAAGAGTGTCCCTTTTGCCAAAAGAATTGCAATTGCAATTTTTGCTTGCGTTCAAGAGGAATGATTAAGGTATATATTCTGTGCTGTCTTACAACTATATCTTCTAACTCATTATGTTGCCATCTAATTTTATATCTATGTTCAGACCTCTAACAGAAGCATCACAGATGGCGAAAAGGTTCAATATCTCCAATATATAATTAACTTGCTCCTTCCATTTATGCAACAAATTCATGAAGAACAAAGTCAAGAGCAAGATATTGATGCTAAAATACAAGGTATTAAGCTTCAGCTTCGTAGCTTTTTTATATACAACTTTGAAGACATCACTGACAATAACCTCTTGCCAGGAAAATCATCTTCTGAGATTGAGATACCACGAACTTCTTGTGCTGAAAATGAACGTATCTATTGGTATTGCATCAGTCCCTTGGCTTAATATACTATCTTGATTCCTTCCATATTTTATAATATATTTTTCTTTGTTTTTGGAGCAGTGACCATTGTGCTACTTCAATAACTGACCTTCATAGAAGCTGTCCCAATTGTTCCTTAGAAATCTGCCTTAATTGTTGCAAAGAAATACGCAATGGAAGTATAACACCCCGGTCTGAACTGAAGTTTCAATATGTGAATAGGGGATATGATTATATGCATGGTGGAGATCCTTTATCAGTGTCTCCTGATTTAAGAACTTCAAAAGGTCATGATGAGATATTTACCAAATGGAATGCCAACAGTGATGGAAGTATTAGATGTGCTCCAAAAAATATGGGGGGCTGTGGTGGCTGTGTGTTGGAGCTGAAACGCATGCTTCCAAATGGGTGGATATCAGACTTGGAAGCCAAAGCTCGAAACATGCTAAATTTTATTTGCAAAACTGAACAAACAACTCTTCAGAAAGAAGCAATATCAAGTTGCAATTCTACGATAAGAGCAGCTTTTAGAGATAGCACAAATGATAATAATATATACTGTCCATTGTCTAGTGACCTCATAGATGGAGGACTATTTCTCTTCCAAAAACATTGGACCAAGGGTGAACCAATCATAGTTCGTGATGTTCTTAAACAGGGGACAGGTCTAAGTTGGGAGCCAACAGTCACATGGCGAGCATTATGTGAAAATGTGGTTTCGGGGATCAGCCCAAATATGTCACATGTGAAGGCCATCGATTGCCTGGCTAGTTGTGAGGTTTGCTACTATTGTCCCTTTGTTTCTTAATACCAATATTTCTCAATAATATCATTTTCAAATAAAATATAAAGCATGTGATGTAATGTGATATTTCTTTTTATATTCTAATGAACAATGTTTATATATTTTATACTTTGGAATCTACCTATAATGAGCTTGAATTCCAGTACCTTGTTAATATTAAAATGTAAAATTTTTCCAAGTTTTTCATGCATGTATAATACTAGAATTTGGACCAACATTCACCCTTCTAAACCTTTGCAGGTAGAAATCAACACTCGTACGTTCTTTACAGGTTATACGCAAGGAAGAATGTATGGAAATCTCTGGCCAGAGATGCTGAAGCTAAAAGACTGGCCACCCTCTGACAAGTTTGAAGATCTTTTGCCCCGCCATTGTGATGAGTTCATTCGGTGCTTGCCATTTCAAGAGTATAGTGATCCTCGAGCTGGGATCCTCAACCTAGCTGTAAGGTTGCCACCCCATGTCATAAAGCCAGATTTGGGTCCAAAAACCTATATTGCTTATGGGATTAAAGAAGAACTTGGCAGAGGGGATTCAGTAACAAAACTTCACTGTGATATGTCTGATGCTGTAAGTAGCATTATAACCTTAGTTTTGCTTGATATGTAGAATATTAGCATTCCTTTAGTTCTTCAATAATTATTGTTCAATAATTTTCACAGGTGAATATCTTGACTCACACAGCTGAGGTAACATTAACTGATGAACAGAACTCTGTTATCTCAAAACTGAAAAAAGCACACAAGGCCCAGGATGAGAAAGAGGGTCGTGCTCAAGATAGAGTTGCTGAATGCCTTAATGGAGGAAAGGTCTTCCCAAATGATATGACCGCTATATCTGAAGAAACAGGTGGTGCTCTTTGGGACATATTTCGGAGAGAGGACACCGATAAGTTAGAATCATATCTAAGAAAACATTGCAAAGAATTTAGGCATACTTTTTGTTCTCCAGTTGAACAGGTATACTCAATTAGTCTACATTTCTGCTGATGCTCATTTTAATGCTTGAGGCTCATTGATTTCTGTGTTGACTAGGTTGTCCATCCAATTCATGACCAATGTTTTTACTTGACTTCGGAACACAAGAAGAAGCTGAAGGAGGAGTTTGGTTAGTACAAAGAATTACGAAGTTCTTGATCAATGCATTCAATTAGCTCCTTACATGAATCATGACTTTTCAGGTGTAGAAGCTTGGACTTTTGAGCAAAAACTTGGGGAGGCAGTATTTATTCCTGCGGGATGCCCGCATCAAGTCAGAAATCTCAAGGTAAAATATCTCGACACATTTGATTAACTTTCTCAAATTGTTTAATTGTTTCTGTTTCTCTAATCATCATATGCCAAACCTTGAACAGTCATGCACAAAAGTTGCCGTAGACTTTGTGTCCCCTGAAAATATCCATGAGTGTCTAAAACGTCTCTCGACACATTGGATTGCCTCATATTTCAACTTCTATGATGTGTATCTATAACTCTAAGTTCAACATTGTAAACCTTGCAGTCATGCACCAAAGTTGCTGCAGATTTTGTGTCCCCAGAAAATGTTCATATGTGCTTGCACTTAACTAACGAGTTTCGTAGTCTTCCTAAGAATCACAGGGCCAGAGAAGATAAGCTTGAGGTGATTAATCTGCTTCCAGCATATTTCCTTATTTCATTTTGTTTCCCTCTATCCCTTTTGATGCGAGCTTCAAACTATACAAATTGAAAAGGAGAGTGATGTTTGCCAACTTTATAATATGTTTGTTTATGATGGCTTTATCTTTCGATGAAACAGATAAAGAAGATGATAATCTATGCTGTTGACCACGCTGTCAAAGAATTAGAAGCTTTAGTTAAATGTTCTTGATTGGGATCCAATGCTGCTTCAATCGAGCTGACTCATTTTGCCATGATAACTGCTATCATTGTTGTACGTGGTAATTTAATATTTGTTCTGAGAGAAATTTTTGTGACGTTGTCATTTGTCAATAGTTAAATGATTTTTTCCCTTGTTATTCAGCCATACACTAACGACCTTTTTTTACACGCCTCCAACATAATTTTCATCATTTTGCTTTAATTTCCTTTTTGTGTACTGTGTCCAAAATGGTCAGTGCCTATAACTTCTGCATAATTTTAGTAATAACACACTCTTTTTAACGTATTTATTATCGGTAAAAATTTATTGGACTAAGGTCTCCCCATCTTAAATAGAGAACATCACAATATCATATTACGACAAAAAAAAAACTTTGCAGTTACACATAATGGTTATGTTCTATTAAAATTATTTGGTTTAACGCGACATATCGTTGCTACTTGTAATATGAAACAATCCATATGTAGATTTAAAGCATTGAAATTATAAACTAAGTTCGATTTGTGCAACTCTTCTTTGAAGAAATTAATGAAATTTATAAAAACATACTGTGATTTACAAAAATTGACTTAATGATGGGAAGATTAAAATAGTATATCAAGTCCTAGGTTGGTATATCAATGTGACCATTGTTCTAACAAAACGTATTGAAATAAGATGAAAACAACTTATGGATGGATCACAAGTTCTCCAAAACATTTATACAAGTGTTTAAGACAACATAAATCTTAATAAGATATAAATATTTTTTTAAAACAATTTGAATATTTTGTTTTTACTTATATCCACTTTTGGTTCTTATAATTTTTTAATTGTGCAATTTTGGTCTTTCCAGAAATTTTATTGTAGATTTGGTCCCTTAATTTTCAAAATTAAGCAATGTAGTCCATTATTAACATACCATTCAAAATTAAACAAAATATATGGATGTATTCATAAGTGATACTACCTGACAATTACTTAGGCATGTTGTTTTCTATGTAAGGAACAAAAATATATATTTTTACTACATATATGTCTTGTTTCATTTAAATTTTATTTAAAATTTATAATCAATTAAAATAATTTTGTTTCAATTTTGACTTTAATTTTTAACATTACTATTAATTTACGTAACTATGTAATTGTCAGGTAATGTCACTCACAAATATTTAACCTTTTCTATTTAATTTTGGATGGTATGCTAATAATGAAACATTGCTAAATTTTGGAAATAGTTAGGAGACCAATTTTGCAATAAATTTTTCAAAAGACAAATTGCACATTCACAAAACTATAGGAATCAAAAGTTGATTTAAGCTATATATTTTTTATAAATCATTGTTAATCCACTAATAAAAATAGTAAACAAAAGATGTATGATAAAATAGAAAAAAACAACTAAAACAACTATTAAATAAAATACGTGTGGTTTTTTTTCCCCAAAACTTAAAGGTGTGTTCATTTGCTTCATTGAAAGGGATCTAATGGTGAAACTATTTGGATGGCCTTTGTCAAGGTTGACCTAAGAGTAATGTTAATAAAGTTCAATTTTTATGTCTAGTTTCCACCAACAAAAGAAATATAATATTAGTTTTTATGAAGCAAAACACACACAAATCTTGGTAAAAGCACTCAACATATAACTCTCATTTAAAGTAAACAAAAAAAAAATCTCTCACAAATTTTTCTTTAAGCCTCACTTGCTATTAGGTTGAGCTTGGTGTTTGTTGATGAAAAATAACTCCTCTATGTAATGTATGATGGGGGATCACTTATAAGAACCAATAAAATGTTTTAGTCAATAAGTGCAAAGTTAAGAGGTGAGAGATTCAGTGAATATGTACTTCAATAAAGAATGAGTTAAAATCGATATTTGTGATCTGGTTGACTTGAATTTGAATATTTCATTGATATTAACAAGAGAAAAATGCTAGCAACAAGTTTTTGAGAATACACTTTTATTGATTGAATTATATTGAAAATCAATAAATTATGTAAATTTTACATCTTATTTAATGATTATATCTATTGATTTTATAATTTTTAATAAATTTTAACCAATAAAAAATAATATGATACCAACAAACTTCTTAACAAGAATACATGAAAGTATATATTTATGTGAGGTATAGTCCAAAAAGTAAATTAATTTATACCTTATAATGTGGGATCAAATATCAAATCATTTATTACATTTATAGTAATTAGGAATTTTTTTTAAAAAAAAACAAAGAAGTATTATTATTATTTGTTAATTAGTACAAGATGTACACTAATTAAAAAAGAAAGTTCATGCAAAGTGTACTCATAAAATTCAAAACATACACAAAGAGTAGTCATTATTTACACATGAAATTTCTATATAATCATGACAAAATATTTTTGCAAAGATCCAAAACTCACCAAGTGCAACACACCAAACATATCCCCACACCAAACACATTCATATGACATATTAAGTTATTGCTTTTATTTATTGCACAAAACTGTAACATCTTTTCACTGCCACGATCGCCCCATCAAACATTATCCCCACAATTGGGGTTGAAAATGAGTAAAACTAAGTCAATCTCAATTTAGCTTAGCTTGACTAGATAATATTTGGTTCAGATAGCAACTCGACTCGAGTTTGACATAAACCTTTTTTTCCAGCTTGAATTCAACTCAACTCAAGTTTGCTAGTAGTTGGATTCACCTTATTAGCTCAAGACACATGATCCAAGAGTGAACTTATAAGGATATATTTATTTTTGTATGTTTTTTTGACCAACTTATAAGTTAATTGATCAAAATAAATTTGTTTGATACACAAACTTATATGAACTTGTTTTTGAAACTTACTTGTGCATGAAGTTTTGAGTGGACTTACCACTTTACTCTTAAATGGATCAACTTGGTAGGAAGAAGTTATATATTTTTATTTTAGCAATAAATATTATAAGAAATAATTATAGGATTATATATATTTTTAGTTCCTGTAAAATGATCAAGTTTTGATTTTAGTTCCTGTATAATGATCAAGTTTTGATTTTAGTTCCTGTATAATGATCAAGTTTTGATTTTAGTACCTATAAAAAAATTGTTATTCATATAAAATTTAGAACTATTGGTTTTAGTCTATATTATTATATACTCCCCTTGTTCTTTATTCTAAGGAAAAAAAATTGATTTCACACATATTAAAGAAATTAGTTAGTTGAATGAAATTTTATTATTTTCATAATATTATTCTTAATTTATTCTTGTTATGAATGCTTAAATAAGTTCTCCAAGTAAAAGATTATAAATTAACCAATAAGTCGTTTGTTCGAGTGGTACTAGACTCAATTTTCTTAAGTTAGGTTTTAGGTTGGATTTTTGTATATGAAAAAAATGTGATTGAAATAAGGGATTTCACTAAAAGTGGACAATTATTCTTTAATAGAAATTAGTCATTAGTAAAGTTAGTGAATACTTTGTATCAATAACATAATTACCAAAAAAAAAATCATAGTAAAAGTAATTGAAATTTCTTATATTTAAAAATAAAAATGTTTTTTTGTTACTTATAATAGAAGGATTAATCATTTTTACTACTTACTTGTTTACTAAAAGGTTAAATGATTTTTTTTTTTTATATAATAAGAATTTAGGTGAGTTGAGTCCCCACCTTAAGGCTTTATGACCGCTTACAAAGGTAGTTACATATTAAAAGATTAACTTATCATCTCAAGTGTTACCCATATAACTATTAATTAATGGTATCATATAAATGTGTGGCACCTTTAAATTTTTTATAAATTTTTAAAATAAATGTTATTTCTACCCTAAAATCAAAATTCTCATTTTACAAGAATCAAAAGTATTTTACAAAAGAATAATAATGCCTACAAATTTTAGAAAGATGAAAAAAAAAATTATAAGAACCAAAATCAAAACTGTTCATTTTATATGATTAAAAATATATTTAAATTTAATTTATATTATGATACATTCTTTTAAACTATTGATAATTTTTTTTAAAAAAATATTAAAATTTAATATAAAATAAGATAAAATAATAATTAAAAATATAATAAATTAAAAAAAACCTCTCAAATAATTGATCGCTAGCGGAGTGTTGTTTCTGCTGGCCAATTTCTTAAAAAATATTTTTATAAAAAAGCTACACGACTTTTATATATACTAAATTCAATTTATTTTGATAAGTTGGGCACGTGATTTGATATTTAACTGATTACATAATTGAAAATCAACGACAACAATAAATATAAAGTATAATAATATTAATAATAAGTCAAAAATAATATTAAAAACTAAATATACACTACCTTGTTGTTACAAATTATTGAAAATTTATTTGTAGATGTTAGAAAAATTATTTGATTCTTTATTTTCATATCAATAACTAAAATTTTTAATCCATTTTTCGATGTAACTTTCAAAATTGCTACATATAATTGATCATAAATAAAAAAAAATAAAAAAAATTGATTTTGGAATATAGACCACAATGTGTTTTAAAAATTGAATTTGGCTTTTGTTAGTAACCATTCCGAATAAAATAATTAATGAAAATTATCTTTAGTTGAAATTTGAATGGCATGTTAGCATTTGAAGGGATTAATGTCTTAATGATAACCTATTTATATATATTTTGAGACCAATTTGACCACCTGATGACCAACAACATGCAAAATTAATTTTGATATTTTGATTTTTTTTTAATTTAGTCAAAATATTTAAAGAAATAATTTTCTTTTACATAATATATATATATATATACATATATATATATATATATATATTCAACTTTTTCTTTTATTAACATTAAATAATACCGTTTTAATTTTATCAATGCCAACAATATAAAGAAAAAACGTGTATTTTTCTTTTCATGTATAATGCCATAATTTCTTAAACGAATAAGTGGTCAAATAACTATAAGTAATAGTAAAAGATTCCTCAAGAAAAACACAAGATTCCTCATGAGGTAAGATTTATTTTGGTGTAATTATTTTAATGAAAAATCTAATATTTTGATTAGTCAATGATTAGTGAGAATTTTTTTTTTTTGGTTTAGGAAAAAAGAAAATTAATGAGAATATGAATTTGGTGTAAAAAAAATGAGAATATAATTTATTTTAATTTAATGATAATAAAGTATTAAAATTTCTAAATTATAAAAGGTAACGTTTATAATTTTGGGTAAAATATGAAATTGAATAATTGATTATTTTAGAAATATGATTAAAATTTTAAAAAATATATATTTATTTTTATCCATTTTTTTTTTGCAAAAAATTAAGTTAGTGATTTAAGAAAGGAAAATAATTAGTGGAAAAAAGAAAGAAAGAAAAATAATTAGTGGAAAAAAGAAAGAAAGAAAAATAATTAGTCAATGATTAATGTGAATATAACTTATTATAATAATATTTTAGGATAAACAATACTATAAATGATTTTTATTATAATTTTTTACAATGTATATTATTTGGATTCATTAATGAAAATGTTTTAAATCTTTTATTAATATTAATTAATATTGTTTTAATTTTATCAATGTTAATGAAATGATAGTATTTTTTTTTCAATTTTGTAGAATTAATTTTGATATTTTTAACTTAGTTGTATATTTTTTTAAAATAAAAATAGCTTTTTTCCCCCTGTTTTAATTTTATATACTCATATTTCTTTTCCCCCCCTTTTTTTTCCTTTTATTTTACAAAAATAATTTTTATAATATATAACGATTGAATTTTGCAGAAATCTAATGATAATTTGTATATATTAAAATGTTTTAATATATTTTTTCCTTTTATTTTTGATATATTTTTTGTTTATAATTATTTTTAGTAGCAATAATTTATGTTGTATAAAACAGTATTATATATAGAATAAAATTATTGGAGGAAAGAAATATTTAGGAGGAGTTATTCGAGAGAATTATTGTTCTCTTTATATTATTTATTTATTTACAAATTTATTTGTTTCTATAAAATATAGAGTTAAAAGAAAAAGACAAATTGATTAGAGTAGTTTTATTATTAAGAGTTTAAGGTATCAAATTATCTATAGTCTCGTCAGTGGGAGGAAGATTAATCTCAGACTAAATGTAATAGATATCTATCACATGAAAAGAAAAAATATATATATCTAAATTAGTGTGTTTCTAGCTATTGATTTTAATTAAAAGTACGAATTGTATATGTTAGGAGACAAAGTGTTTTTACCTACTACCTGGCCATCAATAACAATGAAGGATTCCAACACGAAAGATACCTAGAAATTAGAAAAACCTGCTTGCAAATTCATCCATGCCAATTCCTTCCCTACGACATGAAGCAGACTTGTTGGCAAGCTCTCTCAGGTCTCAGCTGCAAACCTCTTCTTCCCAACTTTTCCTCAAACACCTTCCCTCTCGTTCTCTCTTTTCTCCAAATCCTTCTCTTCCAACACACGCAACAACCCTCCACAGTCCACAGCTTCTATACATTTCAATAACACCATACCCACTTGACCACCATGCTCAAAGGAACTAACCACAGCACCCACTGATCCACCCAAAAGGGTCACCCCCATTATTATTATTGTTTACAAACACACAACCAAACGTTGCTATCCTCGAAATCTTTCTTTTTTGTCACTTACAACCTTCCTCACTCCACCCATTCTTCTTCTTCTTTCGTGTGTTGTGAAGTGGTTATACTTATAGGCCTTGGCCACCACACTGTAGGCTCAAATTTTTCAGGGAATTTATCGAGCATGGCTCCTAATAGTGGAAGTGGGTATGCTCTATCGAGAGCCAAAACCTTCTCGATCGCATCGTTCACGTCTTCCTCTGAAGGACTCCGGAGAGCAATAGTGGCTTCCATTTTTGTCTGCAACTGCTTGAACAGCCTCGTCGCGTTTCGTTGCTCCTCCGCGAGTTGTGAGGGTTGGATCTTGTTCATCACGAGTAGTAACACTGTGGCAGCACAAAACAAAAGCGTGGATGATAGTTTTAGGGCCAATAATGTTTCATTCGAACCAACTGGACACGTGGCAGCCATACCGGACATGATTGCGGCACTGAGAGTAATCATGTTGGCGGAGTTCAAAAGAAGGGTGTTCCAATTGTCGCGTTGCAAGCCAACGTTGTGGTGCATTTCGACCCTGTCGGAGACCATTTCTAAAATTGTAAAGAATTGAGTGATGATGGTTGTGCTACACTTGTTGTTGGGAATATTGAGGTTACGTGTAACTTCTTCTTCATGCAATGTTTTTGGTGTCACGTTCTTTTCAAATGGGCTTGTTTCATGAAACGAATTTTTGGTTGATATTTTTGGAACTAATGAAGGCATTGGTCTGAATTTTGGGACATTAGGGAAGTGTTTTCTCTTGAAGGAAAATATGGATGAGATTTGTAAGGAGGCCATGGGATGATAGTGGAATAATGAAGGATTCAATTTGGTTAGATGGAAATTAAGAATTGGTTGGCATGATTTTTATACATGTTTAGGATCGAAATTAACCAAAACTAAAGGCATGGGAAGAGGTCGTGAACATAGAGGACTTGGCCCGTTTGCTGACTCTTTCCCTGCTGTCCTTTCCCCCGTCACCACATCAACAC